ACTTAAGTCAAACCCACACGAAAGCATGATGAAGATCACTTTCAAGACACCAACGCCAACAACAACACGACAGGAGTTGACCTTCCTGACGTTGTCGCCAATACGCCCACGACAATGACCAACGACCAACGCCAGCAAATGCTCAACAACATGATGGCGCAAACTTCCGAGCAACCGTCAAGCGGCATCCCCGCCGCCGCCGGTCCCAACACATCCACCCCCTCCTTCCCCAGTGCCAACATATCCGACTCGGCCTCCAAAGCCCCCGCGCCCGATTTCTCCCTGTCTCCTGTCATGGGGTCCAACCCGCAACCGCCGAGCCTCAGCAGCATCAACTACAACAGCGAAGAACTGGACGCCTTGCGCCGCATGTCACAAGACAACACGGACAAGATCCACCACCTGCAGAGCATGCTCGGCCCCCTGAGCCCCTCGGGCCGCATACCGGGTCTCGACGAGTCGGACAACACGAACAACTATTTCGACAACGGTGCCATCGACGCCGGCCTCGACCTGGACCAGTACCTCGACTCGGACGCCTTCAATGACACGGGACCCTTCTCCGGCCTCGACTTCAACGCCGCCAACGCCCCCGAATTTGACTTTAGCCTGCTCGACGCCAACAACGCCGCGGCCGCCGGCAACAGCGCTCCCGGCACCGGCGCAGGCCTCACGCCCGGCCCCGCGGGCCGCGTCCATGACGTGGGCAGCACGGGCCACAACACGCCCAGCCCGTCGGGCACGGAGGAGATTCCGCGGGACGAGCTGGCTGGATACGACGGCAGCCCGCGGGACCTGAAGCGACGGCGCGTGGATTGAGGTGCATCAATGGCGGCAGGCTCTTTTTTATTTTTTTGCGGACGGTGGCAGCTAAGCATGGGAACAAAAAGGCGACAGACAGAGAAGCTAGAGGTGATGGGCGGCGACATGGTGTTTCCTGGTTCTCCTTTCCAATGTGTTTTTCTTCTTTTTCCCATTTTTCGCTGGGTTGCGGACTCGGTTGAGACAAGATATCCCCTGGTGGTGTTTTTTTTTTCCCGTAAAGGCTTTCTGTTCTTCCTTTGTGGTAGGAATGGGACAGAGGAAAGAGGCAGGCGGGCTGTTGGGTCTGGATGGATGGACGGGTGAGTTGACGGCAAAGAAGAAAAACTATGGCGTGTCTCGCTGGAAAATGATGGTCATGGCATTTGGGCGCCCTGGGCGGCAGGATGGCTCGGCTCGACTTGTCCTGCTTTCTCTCTATCCGTAGCAAATTTTGTCCACCTTGACGAATAGGGTAAGGCTACACATTGTGACTTCCTGCATGGTGCTGCCTTGTTTGGAAAAAGACAATTCTGGCCTCTTGACATGCTTCCGAGTCGTGCCACACACTTCTCAAACCATCTTCTCCGTAACCTGACAGCCACCACATAGTCACTCGAGCGACATGCATCATTTTCAAAGACCACAGGCATGTGTGAATTGTTGACCTTAAGAATTACCCCTTACGGCTGAGCGCAAAAGCTGACCACGCCGTTCGCCCGAGAAGGCGTCCGAGTTCTCATAAAGACGCCGAGTCACGCCTTTCACCATAAACTTAATAGCCCATCATCCAGGTTGAAGAAAACTCATCCTGATACGAGTTCAATCATCTCTTCCCGTGCAATCTCTTCGGCTTTTGCATTCCGAGTAATCGTACAACGTCATTCCTCGCCACGTAAACAAAAGTAAGGAAAACAAGCCAAATCTTCCGGACCCATCATTCGCATTTTGTAATGAACCCATGACAGACTCTGGTCCGTCCGGTTTGTAAGGAACCGAGTTGAACGCCAGTCTAAGGAGATGAGAAACAGAGAGGAAATCGGTGTCGTACATCCACGATGTCACGAGGCCGGGACCGAAGTGAAGATAAGTGTAAAGGGGGTATAGTCCGAATGATGGCGCCAAAGGGCTTTTTGAATACCGTCCGCGCCAAAAGAATCATGTAGGCTCCGCCCCACAATTGAACAGTCGGAAAGTGAAGTGTCGCAAACGCGAAGAGAAAATAAGTGTGATAGTAAGAACAACAGCCGCAGGACAACATCGCAGAAGGCGTGCATCAGAACGACGGCTTCGTAAGAAGGCGGTACTCGATGTAATCCTCGCCATCAATGCTGATGAGGGAGCCCGTCGACACGAGTTTGCCAGCGAAATTACCGGTAGGCTTGCGCTCGTACCGAATACCTTCATGGTACTTGACTTCGTTGCCGTTAGCCACTGGCGTATGGACAGGAGGTGGGGCCTGAACGGGAGCCGGGGGAGGCGGCAGCTGTTGGACCTTATTGCGTTGCTCCTCCTGCATCTGCCATACGCTCTCAAGACGTTGCAGGTCATCGTGCGCGTGGAATGAGTGTCCAAGGCTCGTACGACTATGGTTATTGTTCACCATTTGCATGGGGGGCAATTGGCTGCCGTGCTGCATCGGCATGCCGAGACTGGCGTTGGCAGCAGCGGCCTCCCGTTCCAGAGCAAACTGAGCCCTGCGAACTTCGGCCTGCTCAAGCCGGCCTATCTCTCGACGAGCGTGGGTATCCATATCCCTGCGTGCAGCAATAGGAGTCTTTGAGGACTGGCGACTCTCGAGGTTTGGCAGCGAGTGTCGTCCGTGAGGGGCGTCTGGACGGCGGCCGTTGCTCCTAAGCTCTTGACCATTGAACACAGTCTTCATGTCCTGCTTGGAATCGACATAGGCATCGTTCATATCTGCGTCCTCCGGCCCGGGCACATCATCGTCATGTCGGCTATGGACACCATTCCCGTTGGCGGCGGCGCCCGGCGGGGGGACGATCTTGACGCCGTGCATGACACGCTGTTGCGCAATGTAGACGGCATGGGTCTCGTTGCGAACTTTTTGCGCTTCCGTCTCACCTCGGTCAATCTGGTATTGGCGAACCCGGACGTACTCTTTGACCTCTGTTCGGCTAAGATCCTTGAGATGCGGCTCCGGCTCCATCTCAGGCCATTGGATCCACAAAGCGCCTGCGCCAACAGGGAAGTTTCCATCAACATAGCGCCCGTCTCGAGTCTCACGAACGACCTTGACCCGGAACATGTCGTTTGTACCGAGAATGCCGAGAACCGCATGGCGATCGCGTTCGTTGGGCCGCGTTGCTGGGCTTCCAATACCCGACGACGATCCTAGTTGGGCGGGTTCCCCAAAGGGCCTCAAAAACCGGCACAGGAGAAATTCTCTCACTGCTTTCAGGATGGTCGGGCAGACTGCGCCGAGGACCTACCTGGGAGTGCATCGGAGGAAGCTCCTGCGCCAGAGTGTGCCTCATTGGTGGTTGGTGCTGGCCCTGTGCTTGGGAACTCAGTATCGGGCCTCCACCGCTGATAGTGCCGACGCCGCTCTGAGGGGTTGGGCCAAGCTTTCGCCGCTTAGCGATCTCAGAACGACTGCAGATGACAGCGTCCTCGGGGATCGTGAGACCGTAGGCCACAGCCGGGGTAGGCGCCGTCTCGGAGGCCGGGTTTCTCTCGAGGCGACGTCGCGCCTCGGCAACAGCGAGCATGTCGTTTTGCCGCTTCGTCTCGGGCGATTCTCCCTCTACACCGGCCCTTTGCTTAACGAATTCTTTAATGTGGTGATGATTGAGCCCGACAAGTTGAGGCTCGAAAACGACGCGCTCAAATGTCACCCAGCTACCACCGGGTCCAGGAGGCACTGGATACTTCTTTGTGTCAACAGGCTGACGCTCGCGGTTGACGTCGGCAATTCGTGTTCGCAACCTTTCTCGCACGTCAATGAAGCCGACGACAGCGTGCTTCTCAGCCTCGTCAGGATGCTGAGAGTCGCGCCAGTATCCAAGAATGACAGTCTTGGAATCAGCACCCGCAGGGCGACGGATCGGCTTTGCGCGGGAGATGGGCGTGTCGTCTGTGGCTGGGCTTCCTTCCTCTTCGTCATCCGCAGGAACGTTTGACAAGGTCAGCTGTCTCTTGCGCGTGGGATAAGGGGACGTTTGCGGTCGATAGGGCAGATCCTCATCGGCGTCGCCCATGGTTTCGTCCTCTTGGTCGGACACCACACGAAAAGGCGAAGACTTGTCGGCACCATTACGATTAGAGCTCACCACGATTTCGTCGCCCGAGGCCGGGTCGTCATGAGTTGGGCTGGGAATGTGGTCAGGCGGCGGAGTGAGGTCGTCATCGTCTTCCAGTTGGGCATTGTTGACAGGGGTTCTGGAAGCAGACTCGATGAGCAAGGCTTTCAGAGCGGTCTGGGGAAGGCCTGTCTTGACTGACTCGGCAGGCTTCGTATCATCGGGAACTGGGCTGTCTAATGAAGGGGCAGAAGCCTCGTTCTTGACCTCAGAGGTGGAGGACTCCATTTCAGAGGTTTTCAGATTGAATTGCGGCCAGATGACTGACGAAAGCGTTAGCATTGTGTTTGCTTAGAAAAAAAGAAAGGGTAAAAAAAACCTCCCCCAAGAAAACTGGGCGATGAGGGTCATGATGAGAACAGATTGAACAGACGCATGGTGGCATGGGAAAGGGTGGCATGCTATAGAGGAGGGACCATATAGGTCGGCGAGGTCGGCGATGAAAGCAATACGAGCGTGAGGGCCGACGCCGTTCAAGATTTGGAGGGAAAGTATCCATCAGGGGCCAAAGAACAGAAGCGAGGGGCAGTAACAATTGCATTATGAGTGAACCATGACATGATAAGACGAGAGAAAAGTAAAAAGGTAACTTACCAGCACAGGGTGGCGGCGGCGCAGTCACCAGTCACCAAAAGCAGCGGAGAGTGAGTTTCGTAGAACGACGTATAGTATCGCAGACGAATAAGATGACAAGAGCTACGACTCAATAGAGTTCAGCGTGCGACCCTGCAAAGCGAAAGAAGAAGAGAAGAGGCCCAGGTGCCGGGTGAACCGAGGCGTGACTTCTGTCAAGACACCCCAGTTCGTAGTCGGTGATAGGACGGGAAGGGAGATGTTGTCTGTACGACCCGTAGTGTGTGATGGGGGTCACGAAAAAAAAAAGACAGAAACAGCCGAATGGCGAAGAGTGAAAGGTAAGGTGCTAAGAGTTGCGTCTCGATGGAGAGGCTGGCGTACTCAGATGGACAGAGTGTTCACACAGAGACAACGTTCTGGTGATGGTGGTAGGTGGATGTGACGCGGCTGTTGCGTTGGGGGGTGGCGGGTGGTAGATGGTTGCAAGTGTGAAGGGTATTGTGTGGATTGTAGGGCGTCGATGATGATGGTAAGCATTGAAGGGGAGTGGTGCCCTCACGTTTTCTTTTCTGAGAATGTTAAATAAGATTAGGGTCAC